AGCAGAGAGCTCCCTCGCCGCGGCTCAGCTGGAGAAAGGCGCCTGCCCCCACTGGACCCCAGGGAAAAGTCCACCAGCACTCCAGGTAGGAGGCTGGGTGGACATTGTTTTTTAAAATTAAAATATAATAATTTGTGTGTGTGTGAGTATGTGTGTGTGTGTGTGTGAGTATGTGTGTGTGTGTGTGTGAGTATGTGTGTGTCTGTCAGTGTGTGTGTGTCTATAAGTATGTGTGTGTGTCTGTGAGTGTGTGTGTGTTTCTGTGAGTATGTGTGTGTGTTTCTGTGAGTGTGTGTCTGTGAGTATGTATGTGTGTGTGTCAGTGTGTGTGTGAGTGTGTGTCTGTGAGTATGTATGTGTGTGTGTCAGTGTGTGTGTGAGTGTGTGTCTGTGAGTGTATGTGTGTGTGTGTACGTATATATATATATATATATACACACACACACACGCAGAGCCGGCGCTATCTGAGTGCCGGCTCTGCTCTAAGCCTTCATGGGCCGGCGGGGAGACCAAAGATCTACCTCACCGGCCCACAGCAGCATGGAGGGAGGCAGTAGAGGACCCAGGGAGCTCTAGACAGAAGCTCCGCCAGGTTCCTCTCGCGATATCTGAGTGTTGCTGCGGCAACGCTCAGATCTCGCGAGAGTTAACTCTAGCCCCACAGGCTAGAGTTCACTCTCCACTTGACCACCTGGGATGGCACATGGCAGCAAGGATTTACTAATCTGCCAAATCCCTCCAAACATACAGCACACACACATACAGCACCTACACACATACAGCTCACACACAGTACACTAACCGCACCCTCACAAACACACACAGCACCTTTAAAAAAAACACAACACCCTCACACACAGCACACTAACAGCACCCTCACAGGACAAACATACACACACAAACACCCTCACACACAAACAGCACAGTCACAAACACGCACCCTCACACACACATCACACTAACAGCACACAGCACACTAACAGCACACACAGCAGTGTGTGTGTGTGTGTGTTTATATATATATATATATATATATATATATATATATATATATATATATATATATATATATATATATATATATATATATATATACACACACACACGCGCGTGGCGTGTGTTTGTGCTTTAGGGTGCACACCCTAATGCAATAGGCTGCGCACGCCTATGGCCCCCATACACACTGCCCCCACAGCCCCCCATACACACTGCCCCCCCCACACACACACTTCTCCACATAACACAGTGCTCCACATACAAACACTGCACCCCCACACACACAGTGCTCCCCATACAAACACTGCACCACACATACACACAGTGCTCCTCATACAAACACTGCACCCCCCACATACACACAGTGCTCCCCATACAAACAATGCACCCCCCCCACAAACATTACACCCTCACACACTTCTCCCCCCATACAAGCACTGCACCCCGACACACGTCTCCCCCACACACTGCACACATATACACACAGTGCTCCCACACACAAACACTGCACCCCATACACACAATACCCCCACTATACCTTCATACACACACTGGCCCCATACACACAGTGCTTCCACTGCACCCCACATATACACACTGCACTCCCATGCACACACTACACCCCTCACACAAACACACACTGCCCCTCCTACACACAGTGCTCCCACTGCACCCCGATACACACACTGGCCCACATGCACACACACACACACTCTGCACCCCTCACACACTGTCTCCATACCCACCCTGCATCCTTCACACACTCAGTGCCTCCCACACACACACACACTACTAGAGGCTCTATCCCCTACTACAGCCCCTATCCTGACAAACCCCAAGTAAATTGTCAAACTGTTTTTAAACCGTTTGACTATTTACTCAGGGAGGGCGCCACAGCACTCCTGGCACCATAACCACTACAGAGAGCTGTAGTGGTTACTGTGCCTGGATTGTTTCTTTAAATAATCTATGAGTGCCCCTCCCGAGATAAGACTCTGGATCCGCCAGAGGCACAGTTACCGGTGCTATCATCATATGATCATAGCACCGGGGAATTATCTTGCAGTGCCCCTGTGTGCCCGTCGCACACAGTTTGGGAACCGCTGGTATTGAAAATGCATTGTGCATATTACTATGATTGTGTGTTGGATTATTCAAGATTCCAAATTTCAAAAGGAAACCCATTAAATATTCTACTATATGTAGCATAAATATCCACATGGAATTATGGGAGTTCATATATAAATACACTGTACAGCGCTGCGGAATTTGCTGGCGCTTTATAAATAATAATAATATTAATAAATACACAGAAGTACCAGTGATGGCTATCCTTGGAAAGGAACACAAATCGGGGACTTAATTTCCGATGATAGGTTCTGCGCTCCCAGTGAGCACTTCCTCTCACCCCAGGTAGGGGAAACAAAAGCTCTCTGCTCGGCAAGGCTAGATGGAGTGAGCGTCAGAAGGGGAGCACTGTGCAATCTGCTCCCCTTCCTATCGAACACATCCACATGACACACTCACACTGTGTGACAGACACACTAGTGCCACACAGTTTGGAAAGCTGCCATAGTGGCCAACCATTTTTAATATTAAGCTTATTTGGACAGGTCTCTCTTCACCTACTGTTCTCATATGAATAATTATTTGTCTTGGTTTACATTTTGAGCAACACTGTGGTATATGTTGGTGCTATATAAATCATTGTAATATGCCTGTGGGTTTAAAGGGGAACTGTTACAGCCCAAAGTTTCTAATATTATGTTTAGTTATCGATATATTTAAGTAATACGTATCTGTGAGGTGTGAAAAATAAAAATAGCAGGGGAAATAACGAAAGTGAGAATTCAAGGAGAATTCTAAATAAAGTCAACATAGTAAAACTAAAAAAATTCTTAAAGTCAACTATGCTTTTTGACTTTTTGAATTTCTCACTTTGGAAATAACTGTGTAAATGTAAGAATCCATATTTCTTTATCCTGTAAGCTGGTTCTCACTGCTGGAGAAGATTCTGAGTGCACATGTACAGAATTTCTCAGTTTGATGTCCGTGCGTGACTGCACCCGAGGCAGTGGTTCCCAAACCAGGATTTATGTATTTCCTTTATTATTCAATAGAGATACTGACAAAACCTGGACTGTTGGTGGCCATGAGGACTGGTTTGGGAAACAGTTGCTCCAAGGCATCATGGGACAGTCAATCCACCGAAACGTGGAAGCAGGGGAACTAAGCAAGTTCTACCTCCCAAAGTGATCGAACAATGTACACAATGCTAGCGGCCAATCAGAGTCTGTCTGGGTTATTGCCTGAACTGAGAAATGTCACAAATTCAGAGTGAATTTCAAACTATCGCCACATTGGAAACAGCTCTTCATTCCAGCTTTTTTACCCTACATTTTAAAATTAATTATGAATTCACACTTTAGTAATTAGCCCTGGTAATTTTGCTGAATAAATAAATAAATATAAATAAAAAAAATAAAAAACAAACAAAAAAAAAAAATAGTCCTTAAGGACCTTACAGCAGCATTAAATTAGTTAACACTATAATGGTTCCATTTTAAAATATGATCCTTAAAGGGACACTATAGGCACCCAGACCACTTCATCTCATTGAAGTGGCCTGGGTGCACTGTCATTGCAGTTTTAGAGAAATTGTCTCCCATACTGCCACTAGAGGCGCTTCCTAAAATCTGGTTCATGGATTGCAGGATAAAACTTACCAGGAAAGGTTAAAGGAACTTAACATGTATAGCTTGGAGGAAAGACGAGACAGGGGGGATATGATAGAAACATTTAAATACATAAAGGGAATCAACAAGGGATACACCACTACCCATAAGATATGCTAACCTCCAAAAAAGGATAAGCACCCAGTCCTAGGGTGACGACACTTAGGAAACACGCGATACACCTTGTTGCATATACCATCACCGAAAAGAGTAGATAGAGGGGACAACGCACATATAAAGCAAAGGGCCCTGTATTGCTTAGACCTACCCCAAACTCACCTTACGATGTTACTGATACACACACCAATAATGCAGTGAGGAAACCCCCACACGAGACTCAACAATATCAACAACAACAACACGTGAAACATGTTTGGGGACCCACGTGAACCGCAGGCTCTGCCACAAGGATTGGCGACAACACCCATAGCCAAGCACATCAGTGAAATAGAGACTAGGGCATCTCCCACACAAACTATTAGCCAACACACGGAAACTATTTCCCACAATAATAGACTAGAGAGAGATCCTGACCCAAAAAGCAAGTATAGATATGCAGGTGAATCTCTGCTAGGTTTATTACCAGTAACGAAACATGAACCAATGACCACCACCACATCCGCATGGCAATGCATACCCAACAACGCCAATTTGGACCTGCGAGTCCGAATTAAGTAAGCCGCCTAACTTGTAAACACTTAGATATCCCTTCAGCCTGTACACACAGCATATTACTGAATAGTATAAATATTTTGATTGCAGAGACCTGCGAGTCTCAATGTTACACTCAGATACCCTACGCAACTAACAAAACTACGCTTTGAGAAACAAAAAAACAAAAAACAAAACAAAGCAAAAAAAATAAAAAATAAATAGAAATTAAAAAAATAGAAGTTTTACTGTTTGAAACCCCATATAGGGTTACTGGTTATGGCTTGTATAGTACCTGGTTTATTGTACAATAGTAAAATATTGTAATGCTGTAACCTTAAACTCCTGCATAATAAAGAGATTTACAAAAAAAATAAAGGAAATCAACACAGTAAAGGAGGAGACTATATTTAAAAGAAGAAAAACTGCCACAACAAGAGGACATAGTCTTAAATTAGAGGGACAAAGGTTTAAAAATAATATCAGGAAGTATTACTTTACTGAGAGGGTAGTGGATGCATGCAATAGCCTTCCAGCTGAAGTGGTAGAGGTTAACACAGTAAAGGAGTTTAAGCATGCGTGGGATAGGCATAAGGCTATCCTAACTATAAGATAAGGCCAGGGACTAATGAAAGTATTTAGAAAATTGGGCAGACTAGATGGGCCGAATGGTTCTTATCTGCCATCACATTCTATGTTTCTATTTCCTGCATTTTTACAGTTTAACTCCATGTAACCCCCCTGGATATTTGAGGACATCCAGCGTGTTTAAAAACCTGGAGAGGCTGTGGGGACAGAGGGACATTGTAGTGTTGGGAATATAGCTTTGTATTCCTAACACTAGTGTTCATTTAAAGCACAAATTGTTATGATGGCATAGATCAGGGGCGCCCAAAAGGTAGAACACCCAGATGTTTTAAAACTACAGCTTCCATGATGCTCTGTCATTCTAAAGGCACGCAGAGCATCATGGGAGTTGTAGATCTACAACATCTGGGGATCTACTTTTTGGGCACCCGTGGCATAGATCATCAGTGGATCTTAAGGGGTTAATTCACTGATGTTGTTACAGAATGTATGCTAGTGCAACAGGCTTGAGTGGGAAATTATAAAATGAATGCTGGGAGCCTCACACTCCGATGGAAATTATAGCATGCGCAGTAGACCTGACTGCCGTGATATTAAATAATTATTATATATAATACAATTATACATTATTACATTATAATATATACACTAATCAATTACATAATTGCAGAATGCATCTGCTTAATGGCATGGCCCCAAAAAAGTATTCTATAATAAGTAAATGAGGGATGCCATGTTCCCTCTGTTTTGAAGACTTTAGTTTTATTTAAGAAATTCTTTTGATTGTAGCAAGATTCTGCTAGAATTAGTAACCCGTTTTAATTTCCATTTTCTCGAGCACAGTAGAATGAGGTTCTGTTTTAAAAATGTAAAATTGCAAGACGTCCCGGACTAGTATCAAGAATAAAATCCTTGGATAAACAATGAAGACAATAAGGAAAACAGGAAAGGAGGACCCAGCTCCTAGCAAGGAAATGAGTGAGGTCACCGCAGTCTGGAAGTTGTCCCATTTCTACGAGATTGTGAAAGGGATGTGTGTATTCCAGTAATGCTGATGCTCTATAATTCATGACGCAGACAGACACTTAACAGCAGGAATCTCAGAGGAGCAATCTAAAACGAGGTGAAGGAGTACTTTCTGGAGAGCCATCAAACACAGTTGAGGGTTGATTCGTTAGCATGTAAGTTGCAAAATATAAGCGTTGTGCAGATATTCACGTGTCAGTAATGTTTGGATATAAACAATTAGTCAAAGAAAATGTTGAATATGTAAGTAAAGAGCCACGAGATATGCCTTTTATACATTCTACTATCATAGGAGGTCCTGCAGGTTTGTGGACAGCGTTACAAAGACACAGGATAGAAAAGAAATGGACCCATTTGAAATCTGATCTATATTCTGATTGGATACTTGGCATTTTCAGCCAATAAGAATACACACGTTCAAACCATGGTCAGCGACCAAAGCATACACACAGGGTAAAATACTGGTCAGTCGTCAATCTGCTATGAATGTCGATGGCCTAATACAAGGACACAGTTATGGGTTACATGACTTTCACACGTTTTTGAACTACCAAAAATGTTCCTGGAAGATAATGTGAGCCGCAATGGATATAATATGGTTTCTTTAAATACATTTAAACAAGATTGTAATATATTAGAGGCCAAAAAAATTGTATATTTATTTTTGCTTTTATAACATGTCTCTGTTGCGTAAAACTACATAGAAAAATATATTTTATGGGGCTGAGTCTATCATACACCAGGGAATAAACTAGACATTTCAGCCAATCCCAACTTTCCCTGTCCAGTAGAGGTTTATGGTATACTTCGTTCAACATCTGTCAGTTCCTTCTGTGTAAAAACATTAACTACAATGCTGTACAAAGTAATAGAAATCCAATCCTCCAAAACTAAGCTGTGTTGTGGTCGTGAATCACATCTAACATTTATCAGGTTCTCTCATAGAAAGCTATGGCAGAGCCGGTTAGATGGGGAGAAGCTTGTATGGAGTGTCTGTGCTATGTGTGCACAGACCATATATATACTATTGTGACTGGATACCACTGCTTTCTCCTTTGACAATTTTGAGTTGAAGTTGGCGGTAGGCTGAGGGTTTCACCCATTGAAAATGCTTACTTAAAGAAAATGGTTTAATAGAGGGGTCCTCAAACTCGGGCCCCCCAGATGTTGCTGAACTACAACTCCCATGATTCTCTGGCTATCTATGTAATTCAAAGAATCATGGGAGTTGTAGTTCAGCAACATCTGGAGGGCCACAGTTTGAGGACAACCGGTCTAATACACTCTTTACGGTGAGTCCTTGGAGGTTTGGTTTAGCTAGGTGCCATTTTTTGCAGCAATAAAGCTAAAGTACAAGGCTGCAAGATTTCTGTATGTTACCAAACTCTTAAAATAGTGGAATATCTCAGACTTCTCTC